GGATGCACATTTCTCGGTGTTCTGCTTAGTAAACAACAGTAAGTAAACATTCTTAAACATTGCTCACATTTCTATTAGACCTATGGGCTGACAATTTAGACCAATCGCCGCACAGCATTTCCTATGTGGATTAATTGTAATACAATCACTTCAATACAACCAGGAGCCAAACACTGACACACACCTAGAGGAATATAAAGATAATCAATGGTTAAACTTGTTTGCACAAAATATTTTATTCACTATCCTAAGTGGTGTGTATGCACTACATAACATGTTGTGTGTGTGTATTTGCAGCCCCAAGGTCAATTGGCTGTGTGTGTGTCTCTGTGTGTGGGTGAGAGAGCGAGCGAGAAGGAGAGAGAGAGAGAGAGCTGTTAGGTAACTTTATAAGAGTGTGACATCTGCCAATTCCCACTGTGGACATCCATTATACAAGTGATGGAGAGAGACAAAGACAAATACAGTAAAGCAAGTATTACCCCGCAGCAAAGGCATACATCCACACACACACACACACACACTGGGTGAGGTCTTAAATCTTCATCAGCGATGCCTGCTTGCCCAAGGAAGAGTACAAAAAATCTCACTGATGAATGGCTTTATATTAGAGAGACAGTGAATGTGTGTGTGTGTGTGTGTTCATAGTCACCTGATGAAGCATGTGTATTGGTTTGGCAGTCTATGGCCAAGTGGTTCAAGCTTTGAATTCCAGCCTATACAGGACTGTTGTTTGATTAGCAGCCACCAAAAACCTCCCACCTCCCAAGCACACAGAGAAAGACCCGCCCACTGCTCTTCTGTCTTGTGTGATCAGGTCCCAGTCATTAACATGTGGGACAGGTCACTGGGTCACAATCTGGTACCACATTCTGATTAGACGACAGCATTGTCTGGTGTTAGCTGTGTCATAGAGGAAGTACACGTGCAAGTACAAGTATGACAATGCAACTTGATAACTCAAACATCACGATAATAATAATGATAATGATGATAATAATGATAATAATGATAATGAAGATAATAATGATAATAACGATAATGATGATAATAATGATAATAATAATAACAATGATGATAATAATGATAATAATAATAATGATGATAATAATAATGATAATAATGATAATGCCTGAACCTCCCAAGCATCGTTTCTTTTTAAATGCTGAGTTCGTGAGCGTCTGCGGGTCCTGTACAATAACACAGCTAATGAAAAATGTGGAATTCTGAACTCTGCTGTAGGTCAAATTAAAGATTTAAATCCATCTCCACATGTCACTCCCACCTATTAATCCTCTCTCTGTTTAGGAGAAAGTCATCTTTATCCACTCCAACATTCTTTTAATGACATCTTGGCTTTAATTCATTTGTTTGAATTGAAATGACAATGACACCACAGTTTTGCCCAGTCTTTATTTTCCTCTTTCTCTTGTCTCCATTCCCCTTTGTTCATCCTTCTGGACACCGGATGAGACGTGCCGGTCTGTGACAAATGACTTTGGAAGCAATTGGTTGAAAAAAAATTGATTGATGGGATGATTGACTCAGTCATTAGTCTTTAATTAAAACTTGTGGACACCCCCTGGCTGAGCATCAGGATAAGTAAATATGCCTTCTAAAAAAGTAAATGGAACCAAGAGAGTATTGTAGTACCTATAAGTTCATAATAGTTTAAAACAGGCTAAATATTAGCTATGTTTTTGATACACATGTCTGCTTTGAACATTAGACCTATTTTGGTGTTTGGGGTTTTCATATACTCCTTATATACACATTGGTGAAGAATAAACATACAGTTGTCTGCTCATGGGTCCGCTCTCTAATCGTCGTATCAACCGATACATCACACCTATTCTGGTGCAGGTCTGCATGCGTAATTTCTTGCAACTTCTTCGCGGTTAGCTCTTGGAGACAAAATCACTGTTTCTGTTTCTGAAAAACTTTCACATTGGTCCTTTAGTTATTGGGTTTGATAGTCCTTAATCTGAGCCTAGTCCAACCACCTTATTCATTTAGTAAGGTTGTCGTCTGAAAAGCAGTACAACCTGATACTGCGGTAAAGCTGTTACACAAGTCATCCAGTGGGGTGCGTTTTCCCCCTGTAGTTCAGTGTCTTGTTGCCCTCATGGTTGTTTCATTTAAGAAGGTCTACAGTGTCAGTGGTTTGGAGGTATTTCAACATCAGGGACGAAGACAGGAGCAGGACTGACTGTAAGATTTGTACTGTTACAATACGAGTACTTTGACAAAACACTGGAAGATTTGCTGAGGACACAGTGGACAGATGATGAAATCTGTGTTGTTGAGACTTTGTTCAACGATATTGTGTTGTGACATACCAAGCTGATGATTTGACCGCAGTTATTTAACACAATGCAAAGAGAGGACGCTGCCGCCACAAATACCCTAGAACTCCATTTAACTCCATGATTTCTCTACTGTTTCACTTGAATATCAGCAGAATTATTTATTACTTATTGTGTTAAGAAATGCCCGCTAAGATTTATCTGAGTGCCAGATGCAGCCATCAAAAGAGCCACGTCTGGCTCGCGAGCCATAGGTTCCCGATCCCTGATATATTGTATATCATCTAATGTGACAACAGTGTCACATTAGGGTTTTTTTATGGGGTGAAATATCCTGTAAATGAGCGGAAGATAAAATGACTCAATGAAAACATTTTCCTTCTTGTTGTCATGGCTGTCACTCAGACACACTGAAACACAGAGCTGTGCCTCCTACACTGCCTTTCAGTTTATTGAATATGAATTGGTGTCTGCCAATACATAAATGAAAATACACATACTCAGTAATCTGCTCTACAAAAACTCCATCTGGACAGGAGTATGAATGAATATGAAGTTTTTTGTCCTTATTCTCCTAGCTGCTGTCACTTAACGCGACACCAATGTGTGAGTGCTGAGAGTGTCAGAATAGTCAGATGTTTTGCGACCTCTGCTGCTTTGGTTAAACTGCTGCTATTCCGACTTAATCAGTCGTTAAATTGCCAGTAAACTGACCTCAAAGTCAGGCTGAAGTGCAGAGTTATGTGATTACTTTTGTGTTTTCACCGGTGCGCTCGTTCTCCCCGCACACACTTTCCATCAGTGCAGCTTTAAGACCAGTGCGACTGACATCTTTAAATGACTGCGTCAAACACATAAATGCACTTGATCACTCAATGCAGCCTCTGTTGCCTGCCCACTCCCCCCCACCCTTCCACCCTCCCTCCGTTCCTGCGTCTGTGAGTGTGAATCCCTCCCACTTTCATTGACAAAACGTGTGGGTGTGTGTCTGTGTGATGGTTTAAAAAAACACTGTAACACACACAGACACACACCATGGCAACTCTCTGCAGACCCCCCCTTCCCCCCTATACACCGTTCTGTTTCATTCACAGCGCATTGCCGACCATGATGACTCATCCTACGGTGTGAAAAGACGTGAATGGCTCTCCTGTGTTCATCCTTGCTCTTGGTTCAGTTCCAGACTGTTTTGCTCCCTTTGTCCTTGCCCGTCTCTCCTATTGACAGCCTCCTCCTCCTCCTCCTCCTCCATCACACTCTGTGTGGAATGCGACCACTCCACAGCAGAGCCCCTTCTCACTCAGATGTTGATGGACAAGAGGAGTAAGTGGCTGCGACAAAGGAGCACCTGTTTTATATTGTCTGCAGCTTGAGCGGGTTGACAGTCACCTCATGTCACCTTGTTGCAAATTACTGCTACTGTAGAAAAGCACTGAAGGCTTCGGAATCAAAGTCAGAGCCGTGCTGAGCTCACAGTTCACTCCTGCTCAACAGAAACTGAGAGGAGAGACCACATTGGACACATGGAAAGTTAAAAGAACGAATAAAGTGTCCAATATGTCACTTCAGGAGTGACAGGGAAAGGGAGGTTGCGATACACTTGCGATCTTTTTTGTTGTTGTTGTTGTTCACAATACAAGTTATCAAGATTTTTTTTAGAAAAAAAAACGAGCTACAGAGAATTACAATAAATACAATAATTATTTCTTTGCAAGAACAATGCAAAATACTGTTACTAACTGACATGGCCTTGTTTACCTCTTAAAATGAAAATGTTATTGTTCAATAACAGACGTTTCTTTACAGAAGCTCCTCTTATTAAAAGTCAACTGGTCTGGTCTTAGTTAACTCGCTAACTGTCCATATATTCAACAACAAAAGAATAAAAAAATATTATCTAGAAAGAGTTCTTTTCTCTACAGAAACACTGTCAGTGGAAGGAGTTCTTCCCACGTTCTGTTTGAACACCCGAATGTCACTTAGGCTACGTCGGGACCTGACGTCTTGGTTTAATAGCAGGTCACAACCAAAATTTTGGCGCCACCTACTGTACTAGAGTGAAGTGCTATGGTATGACCAGTGACTCTTTGAGATAACGCAGCCTACTCCTAACACCTTGATGCAGGATTCATTTTTTATTTCAACCTATGCGAATTGTCACGCATTTGTACAAACGTTTAATGGATTTGCGACGCATCACCAATTCAAGAAGGATGAAAAACACCCGGGATGAATCGCCGACTTAATCCAAACCCTATCCTCTGTGGTTGTTGACCTTTGAATAAATAGACAGGAATAGACTCCGACTTTTCTCCTGTTTCCCCTATATCTTTCCTTTAGCTGTCCCTTGAGTGCTCTACTTCTCTGGCATGCACACACACACACATTGTGGGCCCAAGTGGATTACTTGGCTTTTTAGGTTATTTGTAAGATGTTTTTGAGAAGTAAATACAGATTTTTTAACAAGAACATACCCAAGCCCTTCATAGTGAAAAAAAACTTTCTCCGTCCGTTTCCTTTTTTTACTCTTTCTCGGCCCAATGTCAATGGAGGTTGAGATAACACACACACACACACACACAAAGGGAGAGATGAGGAGTGAGAGGTTTTTTTTTTCTATACCCCATCAAACTAAGTGCAAAAATAAATAACAGTTGTAGACATTTTCATGCATTCTGTCCTCGCCTGAACTAGGTGGCACATGTGGAAGGAGGAGAGGCGGGAGAACGGGAGACTAATGGCAGGATGAAGAGAAGCTGGTGGCAGCGGGAATGACTGACATCCCAAGCGTTGCATTGGTTTGATCACAGACAAACAAGACAGTTATTATGATCCCATTTAGAAGAAAACAAATATCTAAACAGCAGCGTTGCCTCATGTGACCCTCATTTATCATTTTTAATTTCACTAAGTAGTTTCAGGCAGATTACCAGGCAACAGCTCTGTGTACCATTACCAGTTCAGAAATTCATCAACCCAGTTATAAGTATCCTGATTGTAAATCACGGCGTTGGTTTTTATATGGCAATAAAATGAGATGATCCCGTGGTAATCAAACATCTAATTAAATTAATTTACCTATGATACTAATGCAGTTATCCAAATCACTTGTGTTATTGACATGCACTTCAGTGTGTACCTTGCAGTATATGTATATTCTGTTTACTGTTAAGCCTTGCACCAAAACTGATTGAAGACTTTTGTCTTTAGTCAGAGACCAAAGACACATTTGCAGTAATGAACTGTACACTGGGATGTCCCCCGTTTACACTTCCTTTCAAGGACACAACTCCAGCAACGGCGCAGCTGCTCTGAGCATGACTAATTTGGTGTTAGTTTAGCAGCCACAGCAAGATGCTAAAACGTTGTACTGAGCTGCACAGTGGATCTAGAGTTAGCTGCTCGTTTAAATAACGTTAGCTCCAGCTCCGTGGCTTTTGACAAGGCTCAAGACAAGTTTGTCAAGGGACAACACTGCTTTACCCTAGTCCATGGTGTCACCAACATGGTGCCTGGGGGGCTCCTGGTAGCCCCTGTGGACTTCCTAAGGTGCCCGTTGGGTATGTTTTAAAAATAAAGTCAACTAGTCAACAAGAGGCTCAAAAAATGGGGGTATGTTTAAAAAATAAAACTAGTCAACAAGAAGGTCAAAAATTGTACTGTTACTGTGCTTTTTGAATCAGTTCCACTTCCAATGATATTCAAATGGGTCAATGACGATGGTAAGAAGAGTGTCTACTATTGTCTGTCCCAGAACTTATTATTATTACATTGTTGGTGAAGTCTGTATCAGACAAGTAGCTCTTCCAAATACCCTTGAAGGAGCTCTCAGTTTCGGAAGGGTTGGTGACCCCTGTCCAAGTCTAAACACTACTACAGGTCGGACATGAAATTGTGGTTGGCGAGACATTTTTCATAATTTATTTAGAATTTACAAAAGCATGAATATATTTAAAAGTTATAATATCCTTAGCCTAACACTGCCAAATTGGGGGACTGCCCCTCCACCCCTTAAGGGGGCAGCACACTGAGGGTCCTAGGCTTATGTCACATGTAACTCAATTTTCACCGTACATATCGATGTCACTCAGCTACACTAACACAGTGACATCTTAACTTAGGACATACAAACATCAGAAGAGTCTGACTTACGCCTCGGAGCCATAATGAAGGGCAAAAAGTTCCCAAAAAACAACACCAACAAAAGAAAGCGAATGTAGCACAATCCACTGTATGGCATCCGATTGGTAGATGTAAACAAAGCCTTCATGTGACGATATATAGCTTTTAACGATGTACGTCGGAATGATGGGAAATGACAAAGTTATTTTATTTTGAATTTATCAGCAGGATGATTCTTTTTCAAAAATGGCTAGAGTTCTATTGGATGTGCTTGACATTACTGCCTGAAATCCAGTACTGATTTTTGACCACAGCAACCACAGACTCATAAGTAGCCCAAGTCTTCTCAGCAGCTGCAAAAAAAACTCACAAAGCTGCAACCCTTAGTATCTTCACTTTTTTTTTTTTTTTTAAACGAATAAAAACTGTGATCTAAAGAGAACGGGAAGTGACCTAGTGGTAAACTTATTCACGTTGCAACTATTTTAAAGTGTGGCAGGATGCCTCCTACATACCCCGATGATAGAGCTTTAGATAATTTAGTGATGTGTCCCAGTCTCTGCAGCAGCTGATGAATAATTACAGGCTCTTTTCACACACACACACACACACACAAAGTAAAACTTTTGCTATGGGATCAAGAAATGAGGCCACATCCTACAGCTGAGACAAATGGACACACTGCCTTAGCTGCACTAAGCTTTGTGGCTGTGGGGTCAAAATGAGGATGTGATGTCGGGCGGCTTGGTTGACAGTGCGGTTTTGAGACATCCATTCCTCCCGGAGTTGTTACCCTGCCGATAAACTCAACCAGTTTTCCTTGAGATTCAATAATTGGAAAAAGTAGTGGGTGTAGTCAGAGGCTGCGAAGTAAGAAGTGGAGTTTGTATTCTAGATAGTAAAAGTGTGTCAGGTCTAATAGTCTGTCTGCTTCCTTCTCCCTCCGTCCTCTTTGTCTGGTATTTCCCTTGCTTTGTTTGTGCCACGTTTGCCACTTTATCACACATGACTTTGCGAGTCTGCTGCTGCTGTTCTTGCGAAGTCCCTCCGGGACGGTAGCTTCCCTCCTTTTTTCTTTTTTTCTTTTTTTTTTTTTTGTGTACTTCGCTCCCCTTTTTCCTTCTGTTTCTTTTTCACCTGCAGAAATGAACAGAGGGAGGGTTGACGGAGAGGGGCGGAGGGAAAAGCAGCCAGCCTGAGACAACTCCTTGGCGCTGCATCAGCACTCACGTCCTCTGGAGAATAATAAAAACCGGGGGATAATTCAGCACTGACGAAAAGCTAATGAGGGATGGAGTTGACGTAGGAAGGGGGAGTGGGGGGGTGGGGGGGGGCACGGTGGATGATCGCAGGTGGTCTGTCGTTAAGGTGAAACCACACTTGGAAGAAACACAATACTTCATAGGGAGCGACGGCTCTGATTGGTCTGATCTTCATATTATTGTCTTGCCTAATTAGAATTAGCACAGACATTCAGACATAATATCGACTATCGAACTTCACCTATTCTGTCTCACTCTCTGAGTCTTCATCTCTCCTTTGGTTTCCTCGACATCCTAGAAAAGTATGTAAAAATATGAAGAAAAAAATCCTGCAGTGTCATGCAGGGAATTCTAACAGGTGTTTGTATCTTTTTTCTTTGCTCCACACACTCTGACTTGCTCTCTCTCTCTCTCTCTATCTCACACACACACACATACACACTGCATATAGCTTAGTACATCATCTTCACACCGAATGTTTCTCCTGCTGTTCTTGACATAAGCACTTTTTTTCTGTTGGGCTTGTCATTAGTTTGGGCCTGTCATCAAATTTGCTGGGAATGGAACATCCAGTGTGTGTGTCCGTGTGTGTGTGTGTGTGTGTGTGTGTGCCAAAATTCACCCCTGAGCCTGTGTAGGAGACATTTTTAGGAAGGTTTCTTTGCAAAGATCTGGCGGTGCTACAAAGACAACTGTATTGATTTGAGTGTCCAAAAGTAAAGGAAACATTTCCCTGTCTCTGTTGGTTTGCTTGTTTGAGGACTTAATTCCTTCCCACAATACAGAAAGAATGGCATTTCTACGGCCAATTTCATAAAAGTGTGACTCACCTGATACTATTCCATCTGATGAGCTCCAGTTCAGTTGAATCATTTCATTGGCTGAGGCTTCAGAATTGTCTGAGATTTAAAAAAAAAACAAAAAACAAGAATAAAAAAGCTTCATTAATCCCTTGTGTGAAATTTGCTTGACAGCAGCAGCATTAGATGGAAAAAAAAACACACACACACACACACACAAAGCGCTGTAAGTCTCTCCATTAAAATTATTGGAGTAGTGTGGTGCAGTGTTTTAAGTACGGTAGTAATACCAAAAATTAATAGGAGGTATAAAAAGAAAGCTGTTGACTATTAATTATTGTTTATAATGTCATACTAGAGAAAAACAAAATGAACATAAGTTAAGACTGTAGTTCTCAAATAGTGGGGCGGGCCCCAATGGGGGGGGGGGGGGTGCTGTGTATTCAACTTTTTCAACAGTATTTTCTGTACAGGTTCATACACGAAAACAATGAAAATAATTTGCAACGTTTGCTTCGCTTTCTCACTAATGATTGTCTCTGGAATACTGTTACCAGCCAACTGTTTTTTCTTGATCCACATCAATAGCAACTTTTCCACTTCTTCTAATGTCTGAGATCTTTGCTTGGTGATCACAGTCACTCCTTTGACAACCTTAGCTTCTTTTATTGCTTCCTTGTTCTTAATGATGGCACAAATCAACGACCATGCTAGGCCATACTGTAAAGGCAGATCTGAAACACGAGCCTTGTTCTCATGCTTTCCTATAATCTCTCTTCACTTCTGTTGTTGTTCTCACTACTTTTCTTTCCCATCGTGATTTATGAAATAAAAAAAAATTAGAAGAAATAGAACAGTGCAAGAAATACCGGCAAAATCAGACAACAGTTAGCGTGTGTACTCCAAGGCAGACTGATGCCACACACTCAGTCACTCAGTGATCACTGGTACTGTCTGTTGTTCAACAACCGAGTTATGGTACGACAACCGAGGCAATTTGTGGTTAAAATTGTTGTTCGACAATCTTTTTTTTTTTTTTTTCGAAAAGGGAGACATTGGACAACCAAAGTCCAACTGTATTAGTTCACCCTACATTTTTATGTGAAACTTGACATTATTGGTGGTTATTCAATCTAGTACATGTTTTAGGCATGTTTCCAACCATTTAACTTCCTACATTTCTTGACTTTTTTTTTTTATCAAATACAAATTTAGGTTTTGATAAATTGCCTTCGTTGACAGATAGCACAGCATAGCCTGAAACATGACTCGCCTCTGCAGCTGGACTGACAGTACTGTAGGTCTGATTGTCTTTTTATTGACGACAAAATTCGCTGGAATGCAGTCAAACCTGTTCGGTTCCTCGGACAGTCGAGTCCACCCTCAAGCTGCAACAGTCAACAGCTCTGCAGGGGCAACGCTGCAGACGCCCATGCATTAATGAGGAGTTTTACAACGGCTCCATTGTGCATCAGTCAATCAGTGGAGAGACCATCAGCCTAATGATGTGTGATTTACAGCAGGCTGTGGTGAGCAGCACAGATAGATGAGCGGGTTACTGCTCCACAGCTCAACCACAAGAGCTGCAGCTAAAACCATACAGTGGAAGATTAAAGAGTGGGGGACACACCCGGCATGTGTGATCTGCATTGAAGATAAAAATCATAGGGACAATTGCACTCTCTCTCTCTCTCTCTCTCTCTCTCTCTCTCTCTCTCTCCCCTGGTCGTCCTCTCCTCTCTCTCCCCTTGTAATACACGTGATTCAATAATCGAGATTAATGCACACCGGCAAAGGAGCAAAGTTGCAACAAACACGTGCGGGTGGGATCGAGTGTGAGATGTGTGTGTGTTTGTGTAAGACTGTAATAGGTTGGTGATAAGGGCTTCAGAGGACATTGATTAAAGATTCAGAAGCACTGAAGTGTTACACTGACCAGTCACCAGAAACCAGGAGGGATTATGGCACGGTTAGGTTTCAGGTGTCTTTCCCCTTCTTTTTCTCCCTCTCTCCATCTCCCTCCCTCTCTCTCTCTTGCTCTCTTGTAGACACACATGCGCGCACACACACACTGGTATTTCGTGTGGAGTTAGGTCAGTGAGGCGGGAAAGAGGTTGAAACATTGTGCTCAGCTGCCTAAACATGTCCAGGTCAAGGTTATGGTTTTATGATAGCTTCACTGACCACATATGGGAGGGGGGATTCCTATACACACACACACACAATCAAACACACACCTGAGAGAGTATTTTGTTCCTGCAGAATAAACCTAAGATTAGAAGAAGTTTCCAAAGACCTACTGGTCTTGAATATACCTTTAAGGTGTGTGTGTGTGTGTGTGTGTGTGTGTGTGTGTGTGGTGAGCAAATGTCCTGGTTCAGCCCTAGTTTCTCAGTGACGGACAGTCCACTGTGATGATGTTACAGCCTGGCCTCATTCACACACATTCATTTTCACATGTGCGTACTAACGGTCTGCCCGAGGGCTGAGGTTACACTGGCCTATTTACACGGTAGGTCACAATCGGAGGCCAAAGCTCCGGTGTGAGGACACATTAGCAGCGCAGATGTAGGACAGGGGCAGAGGGATGCAGTGGATCCTTGACAGAGAGCCTGCACAGAGGAAACAGTAAAGTTCACCTAAACAAAAATGTTTATTATTTTGGAATTGGTAAACTGAAAACATAATTTTTTTTGGCAAATTGATGAAGAGAAATTAGAAACATTTTAACAGGAAGTCCATTATTTATTGGCAGTGTGACTTTCCCACTGCTGTGACTATTGTGACCTACTTTCTGCAAGTGCAATACTCTTGTTCAATATAATTGTGTAACACTTGTATACTGACCATATAGTAATGCCAACATTATCGCCGTGCAAATATATATATATATATATACTTTATAATCCGCTGACTGCTACCTTAATTACAGCTTTATTTTCTCTGCTTTGCTTTAATTATTTACGCTGATACATTGATCTGGCAAAGGTAAATAAAGGTTTCTGAATGTGAATCTGAATGTCAGCCTCCTTCCCATAGGGCAGATAAGGGTTAAATTGAACATTTGAATATTAGTTTTCTACACCTTCAATTAACATGCCTGCAACATTAGCATTTGCATAAAGAAGGAATTAATCTGTTTGCAAGTGCCAACAAGCACTGAAGCTTAGCCAAACGTTTATTTATTCAAATTCTGTGATTCGTCTTCTGTGGACTTTTTTTTTTTTTTTTCTTCACGAAACTAAAGTCATACTGTAGATGAAATGTCAGGGTTGGAATGAGGACAAGCAGAATAAATCCTGGCTTTACTTTAACCTAGAAAATGACAGCATCCTGCGCCTCTGACAGAGTCATGCACAACGGCTGCAAGTAAAATACGTACGAGTTATAACAAGATGACATTTTGGGGGGAAGGTGCCAAATGACACCTGCCTGAGTAGAACGGAATGAATTGATAATCAGTATTGGATGCCTGTTGGTGCTGCGTTTGAGCTTAAATAATGTAAGCATGTGGTACTAGTGTTAATTTGAATATTTATTGTCAACAGGAAAAGAATCCAGACAACTCCAGCAAGCAGTAAAAATGTTGAGTGTGAGAAGATATCAGGCATTAGTGATGAGTGAGGCAGAGCTGGCCGTGGTGCTGATTTCACTCACGCTTCTGTCTCATTTAAAAAGGATGTGAACTTTGTTAACAGGCTTTCATCACTGATGATTTACAAATGGAACGTGTGAAATATACATTTACACATACAAATGAAGAAATACATACACACACACACACACACACACACACATATGTATGTATGTAAACTCGGAAATATATACAGTACATGAATGTGTATTAGTATAGCAATAGTTACTAATACTAACTATTATATGTCATGTCAAATGACAAGTAGTTCACTTCCACTTCATATACATACTGTATATAAATACATTACTACTGGTAACTATTGCAGCTATATTATTACTCTCTGTACTCCCTACTTAACTACTTTAATGACGGAGTAACTACTGATTAATTATTTTAAAGTAAACTAGCAATTTATTACCTTTTATATCTTGTTCGTTTATTCGGAGAACACACTCCAGCATGGACACATCTTGAATAAGAATGTTTTTGTCCAACCTCTAAGATGTGGTGTGGCACATCTGTAGGGACTAGTTTCTGATCTTTGACCCTTCAGTAAGCTAGGAGCAGAGAGCTCTCTTGGATCAAGCCCAGTAAGGCATTATGTTATGAATAATTGTATTAAATGTATTATTATGGTCTTGATATGGTTCAAAGTTTTGTCTTGTGTGGATACTGGAATAAGGAGGTCATGTTTCATTTGAACAAATCATTAGACAGTTTCTATCACCAGTTGTTTCTATCCCTCCACTGGCTGTGTCTCCGTTTGGACGCCGATCATGTTTCTGTGAGAAACATCTTCCCCCGAGTCTACAAGTGCAGAGCTGCGTCTGTGCAGCACAAACACTGTCCTGGAGCACCCTCTGTTGGTTCAGAGTTGTGTTGCAACACCTCACTTAAACTCGTTCGGTTACTGCTGGAAATAACGAGGCCATAAAATGTAAAGTGAAATACACCAAATTTATTTCATGCCAAAGCTTAATCACTATAAACCCTCAGAAAATAACTATATTGAATACAACAAATCAGTCATGATGCTAGGAAGATTAATTTGCACTTAATTTGTTCGAATACAATCAAGTAGTGAAAACAGATATGAATTCAGGAGTGATTCAGTGCAGTCGTTCCTCTTTCAGCACCCAGTATATTTGTTTGGATGGAGATATGTGTGACAAAAACCAGAGTTCTTTCACCAGAAGAAGATTAAAGACATAAAGTGGATACATTCAAAATGCAGAGCCAGTGATTTATCCACAGAAAGTGAATGAATATTTAAAATAATTCAGCTAAAATTGCAGCAAAAAGAAACAAGAAAGTAAATTGCAGCAGTGACTGAACTACAAAGAGAAGAGTGAACAATGGTGGGTTTCAAGCACTCCTGAGCAAAACAGGTAGTGAATCCTCCTACGACGACTCCAGTAAATCTACAGTGAAGTAGAGCTGGAGCAGGCAGTGTGAGTGACAGCCTCTTCCACAGCTTCTCTGATTGCATATCTATAAATGGAGTTCTTTTTTATCCCAAGGTTGTGGAAAAAAAAGAAAAGAAATGAACAACCTGATTCTGTCAGGTGTCTACAAATTTTTAAACTAGCCTCATATCCACAACATCTGGACACAGGAATATAACGAGTACCTTTTGTATTATCTTTACTCTCTAATAAATAATTTTCTTTGACTTTTTCATATCTAATTTAGTTAACAATCAAGCCTGTCTTTGACAAAGTGCTGAAAACTCCACTTCCTTTTTAGCAGCGCGCACGTCCTGCTTAGACATTCGGTTCCTTTCCACACTTGTCACACTTTGGTTTTTCTTCAGATTTGCTTCACACACACTGTATAAACACACACGATCCTCAGTAGTATAAGCCGAAGCTTTAAAAAAAAAATCCACTCAGGGGTTAGGGTGACATTTTTAGACACTAAGATGTCACAATGATAACGTACATAGAAGTAATCATGTGCTTGTAGTGTGGTCTGATGGCTGCAGCATTTAAGAGCCGGGTCAATCCATGTTACCCAGAGTAGTTTCAGTGTCTAGACAACTGCAGGTCTATAACTCATCCGTGTAAAAACTGAACAGGGAAAAAAAAAACTTAGCAAAGTTAGGGACGTAAAACACAGTAAAGCAGGGAAAACTGCTTGTCTGTTCATGGTATCTTGCCATGAACACCATTTGCTGATTATAGAGCTGTCAGTCAGAAAAGCTTTACAGTGTGAGTCGACTGTCTGTGGCCCTGAAAGCACCACGCTAACACAAGAGGCAATTGCTCTGCGGAGAATTGTCAAGAAAAGTAAACCAGAAACAAATATGTAATGGAGACTGAAATAGAGAGGTTTCAAATATAACAAAGGAAAGAATAAACTGTAATGGAGACTGAAATAGAGAGCTTTCAAATATAACAAAGGAAAGAATAAACAATGTCCCCAAGTGAGGCTGATATCAATACCCAAAAACAAACATCCATCCATACCCCTGCAGTTACCCCTGCAGTTGCCCTCCGTCTGCTAACAAACGATAAGGCCCGTGGGCTTACAAACAACCCCCAGCAGGAAGCACCTGCTTAGATCCTGTTGTGTTCATCTTCTGAATACACCCAAAAACAAAAAAAACTGTAGCTACACACAGTTAAAATCACAAACTTCCGTATCCATCACAACCAGTCATAAAGTTAACAAAATGGTCTCTTTCTTTAAACAACAGCTGAAGTACACACCTGCATAACAGGTGTGATCACACGGCCGTACAGTTAGGCTGTGGTTGGACGGCCCGTCCGTACATGACTTTGTGCTTATACCACTTCTGTACTTTTTGCCTTACACGTTTCTCTTAGTGTCACCAGAGGCTTGGCTGCAACAGAGAATCACAGCTTAGTTCCCTGCGACTTAACGTGCGGCGGTGGAAGTGTAGTGATGAAGGCAGATACTGGGGGAAAAATGTCAGAAAAACGTGACAGGCCTAGTATCAGGCTGTCGTTACAGCTCGGTTTCACTGAGATTTTTCACTTGCGTTGTCAGACGCTATTTTGTCCTCAATACTCTTTGTCACATCAAACTTTAGAGAGAAACACCAGCTTGACGCCAGGTGAAGACACGATGATATTTATAGTACTTCTCACACATGACTCGTCTTTGTGCAGCAGTTTAAGTGAACCTGGATGGCAGTGTTTCCGCTAGTTTATTTTCTGTTTTAAAACATCCCAACGCCCACTAATCCTTCCCCCACCCCTGGGTTTTCCCTTATCCTGGCTGTTTCCTCCTGTCTAGTATATTATATCTATCTTAAGTTAATAAAAGATATGTATATATTGACCAGGATGCCCACACCTAGCGCCATTTGACAGCTTTTTGAGACTCCAGGAAGTGAATTAAGTAGTGGCTACGGAAACATACGAGATGATAAAGCTAAGATTAGTGTAATTGTGTCTCTCTTTCCTTGAGGTGCAGCCATTCAAGCCCAGGAAAAGCTGCATTTCACTGATTTTATACTGTGTCACTGAACCTCACACAAGAAAAGGCAAATTCACATTCAATTCAGCTTGTAGCGAACTGATCAAAAGATGAATGCATGAATGCTAAGGGAGCATACGCAACTCTTTGGTACAGTCACTTAACACTTGATTCCAGTCGTGCACTTTCAGGTTCAGATGTGAGCGCCGTACAGGAAATATAGTGTTAGAAAACGCTTTAATATACAGACGACCTCTTCCAGTCTCTGTTAAACCGCAGCCCGCATGCTAGCACACAAGAGCTGCCGGCACCATTAGAGCTAATGAGAGTATAAGCCATAGGCTGTGTAGAACATATGTATAAATGAATAGCTTTGCGTTGGTGATACAGTGTGTGTTGTGCTGAATCTTTGCACAAAGGGCTCTGCGAATTCTGCTTCACCTACCTCTACGTAAACATTCATTCAGACCCACTAAGGCTGCTGTACATGATCGCACAAATTTAGGATTAGACCGACCTGTGAGATCGGATCAGTCCTCGGTGAATGAAATATCAAGTAGAGCTTAAGACTTTGAAATGGATTCACATACGTACAACTCATCAGTATGAGAATTACCTGAGAAAGACTGAAACTAACGGATGAATTGATTAAAACAAAAACAAAAGCTAAACTGTAAGTAAAAAAAAATAATAAAATGGGAAAAACCTGACCCTCAAGCTAACCCTCATTTACATCAATAATTTGTGGGTTTCTTTACTAATTCAGCCCTCATCAACTCCAATCGTTGAAAAATGCAGCAGTTTACTAATTCATTAGTGAATTTCATCACACACACTACTGGTAATGCCCCCTTTGTTCAGTGTTCTCTCTGTTGACTTGATTTCAGGCAGAAAAAGCCAGGCCTTGTATTTGCAGATTCAGCTAATGAGTCTCTTTAAGGCCAGCTTGTTAGCAGAAGGGTGTCTCCGTGGCAACAGCTCGGTGACATCATGTCTACAGTGCAAAGTCCACTTGTGTGAAGACATGTCAGTAGTAGGAAATATCATAGGAGTGTAGTTTAAAAAGTCAGCGGACCGGCACAGCGTTATTTAGCCTCGGAGTTTCCTCTCTGAGCACGTCAAAAGCGTGGTTGTGTCAGAAAACACGACGACGCGTCTCCCTCAGTAGAACTTGTCGTCAATACGGAAGTGAGGTCTGGTGACATCATCGGGGTTCAGAAAAACCGATATGGACTTGCCGGGGTTCTCTGTGACCAGCTGCTGCAGCCGCTGTGCTAGCTTGTCATCTGACGGTGAAATGATACCATTGGCTGTGTGGTGACCAGGGGAGCCGTGGCCGTTGGTGTTCGCCGTTAGCTGCTTCTTGAGCTGGCCGGCTTGCTGAGCTTGGTCCAGCGCCGCTCGGAGATGCTCGCCGGGATCAGAGCGTACGTGGGCTAGTTTCCGTGCTACGAGCAACGCCTGGCTGTCCGACAGGTGCTCCAGCATGTTGCACTGGGGCAGAAAGTAGTTGGGGCAGTTTTTGCCAAGAATGCAATGAGCTAGGTCATCCAGGAGGCCGAGAAGGAGGCGACCAGGGGTATCTGGATCAGGACTGGACAGGTAGGCGGCAGGAAGGCGGTCACAGGCCCAGAAGAGGAGGGTACGAAGGTGGTAGAGGCTGAGGCCTGTGCGGGGCCTCGCTAGTATGCGGGAAAGTACTGCCTTAGCTGCCTGAAAAGCCTGGGCCATGGGGAAGGGGATGCACTTCTTCAACTGAACCTGGTGAGGAAAAAACAAGAATGAAGACAATGTAAGAGAAGAAGGCAGCATAAAAAAACTCCTTTAGTTTTAAACTAGGGCTGTCAAAATTGACTATTAACCATGATAGTAGATAGAAAATGTTCATCTGATTAATTTCACAATAGAACTATCTTGGTTGATAGACATATAACATTTAGCAGCCCTTCACCTCGCTGCGGGAGAATGCCAGTCTCCACTCTCTGTCTGGGCGGCCACCCAGTGTGGAGCAGCAGGGCAGCAGATAGAAGCCAGATATGGCCTCTTCCTCTGTGATCTTTCCGTCCCAGAAATGGTTGGCAGTCAGCCAGCCTTGAGCCACAGCGGGCCAGCCTCGGAAGGACACCACGGGCAGCAGGTCGTACAACACCCGGCTGGATCCAGCCTGCAGGAGGAGACAGTCGGTGGGAAAAGGAATATCACTTTATTGGTGGTTGACTTCTGTTGTCTACGCAACAACCACTTCACTATTGATTTTTCTCTGGGCTGTTTTGAATTACATCTTCCATTCAGCATCCATTACAGCAAGGGTTTGTAAGGTTTTCGACAACGGAGAACGGTACCTGGAGGATGATAGTAGTCAGGGGTCCGTTCCTCTCCAGCCTGTCTGGGGTAGGAATTCCTCTCTGGGGGCTACGCCTCAGCTCCTCCACAGCCTCACTCACCACTCCCCAGAACCAGTCTGTCACCAGGGTGGGCGAGAAGTAACATCCATCCAGAGACTGCGGCGAACTCAGGGAAGGGATGGAGCCTTTATCTGAACAGGTGAAGACGTGATCGGATGTGACATCTGTGCTAAACAACAAACATTCTACTGTACTAAAACCTGCTGCAGCGGTGCTGGAGACAGGGATCACAGTGTGTGTCACCACTGGTGCAGACTGAACTGTCACAACCATTTGGAGTTAAGGTAACGGGTGTTAGATCATTCGCACGCACCGTGCCTTCCCTGACATGTGGTAGGTCATAGTATTAACCCTGGCAGTGAAACGTGATTCACACAGCTCACACAGCACCTTTTTTATACACAGCACTGCTGATACACCATCAAAAACATCTCTGCTCTTTCCTCTGTGTTCTTTATTTTTCTGGTCTTGCTCACAACTCCTCCTGCATTTCAATTTTTCCACTGACTGCCTTTTCTACTCCTGCGGTTCAGAGAGTTCCCAGGCTTTACTTGAACCATCCCTTCTTCCTTGATCTTCGTGTAGCTTCGTGCCGATTTTTATATATCTACTTACTCAATTCTCCCTCTTCCTCCTCATCTTCCTCAGTTGTGAGTCTGTTCTCTTCCTGGCAGCAGATGCTCCAGCGTGACAGTACGTTGGAGTCACAAAGGCGAAGGCTCAGCCACGAGTGGCAGGGTGGGGAGTGTCTCATATCCAGGGTGACGGGCTGGTTGCGGTCGTGGAGCTTTAGGGCAGGGACCAGCAGGGTGAAGTCCAGATCAAAATCGACCCCTTTAGCATAGTCGCCCAGGTCTTCGGGGTTCAGGTCCAGGACGCCCTCCCGGGCTCCACCTGACAGCAGCAGGTACTCATTGGCAACTGGGAGGCGCTGGTCCACTTTCTGGACTAAGCCTGTAATTGGCAGATAAGCAACAGTCTTCAGAGTCTGTTTTTTTTTCCTGCTTATATTCAACACTGCACATATGACTGAATCACAGATCTTTCAATGCAGACGGTGAACAGAAGGGCTCCAAACAAGTCTGATTTATGTCCTTTCAAGGACACTGCAGAGATTTATTAGTCTGAACTGCAGAAATATTGATACATGAGTGTGAAATATATAGCGATCCTTCAAAAACTAGTTGTTTTTTTCTACGTGTAGGCCATGATGATATTTCAGCTCCCAAACACTCTTGACACACATTTCTACACAGCTCATTACATTCCATCCACTTGCATTGTTGTTGATGGTTGTTATGAGAATGTAGAAAATGGCGCCTTTTTGGAAAGGAATTTTACTTTTCCTTTATATTCCAGCTTTTGTCATTGTATTTTGATGCGAAAATAAGTTTAATATGATAAAGTGAATTATCTAAGATTCAAAAGTTACATTGAAATTATAGCACGTTCAGTGCTGCTTGCATCATTTGTGTGACTTTTCAACAAAATATAACTAAAAGTCAGCCTGCTGGGATAGAGAAACAAGATCCAAGACAATAATCATATTATACTCATTAAGTAATCTTTGCAAGACTGCACCATTAGTTTCAGAGCTACTTAAATGCCTTCCTCCTTCCTCTCAAGGTTCTGTTTATAGGCTCCAAACATACCTCCAAATCCCTTTATGGCTTCTTAGCTGTGTTGTAAACTTCCCTAGCTCTGGGCCCATGGGAACTGCAACACCGGAGTCAAGAAAATAATGTTTTACCTGCTTTAATAAGCTACTGAGAGAAGGAGCCTGATCTTAAAGTGGAACGTGAGTTGGTCCGGTGCTAGCTGCCCGCTATTGTAGATCAAAGGTAAAGTAGTGGCACTCGAGGAGCTCTAAGTAGAGAGGAGATTGCGAAAGCTTGAACTCGAGTGTTTACCTCCTCCGGGGCAGTTAAGGGGTTGAAGAAAACTAAAACAGGGCATGAGACCTAGTCCCCCACCCACAGCCTGGGATTCACAACTCTAAGTGTGAGTCTTCTTATCTGTTCGCACCCAACTACAGTGGTAGTGGAATCATCCAATGAATAGAATGTACAGGCAAGGGCTAGTGACTAATTTAAAACGTTAAATAAACTGTTTTTTAAACCCTCTCTAATTTTTTTAGTATATTTTAATGAAGAGCCACAATCACACCAACTGTATATCCAATAATTCCACTTAATGTTGCTCCAATACAATAAATATACAAGGAAAGTTTTTGTTTCACTGTTCTGAAAATTAGTTATTGACTGTGAATATTTTCTTTCTCACAGGTGGAACAACTAATTACCCACCCACTAGGTGGTAGCTGATTTTAAAAAGAGAAACAGAACTGTTGATCTCTTTGTCTTTCTTCAATTCCTGCAAATATATTAGTGTTGTGTTCATCTAAACAGGCCCTTTTTTGTTGTTTAATCATGATTAATCCACAGCTATGCTGTGATCAGTCAGATTAAATATTTAAACAATTTGACAGAACTAATAATTATACGTGTCTGAACTGTATGTGAACTCTCTCTTCGCATGGGTAATGCTTTTAATATCAATAATAACTCACAGGCATGACTAATTCAAATAATATGTTATGTTGATGTGTCGGGGGGGGGGGTCTTTGTGACGTAGCTTTAAAGCTAAAAGCAATAAAAAATATCTCGATCCAAAGCGAGCAGATTGAGTTAGTTTATTCAATCAGAAATGGAAAAATATTAAATGGTTAGATGGATGTTGTCTAACCCACAGGAAACGTTTGTTTTCCTGATAATACATTTTAAATTTTTACAGCTGGTCTACCCACAGAGGTTTCATCAGATAATTCATTCTCCTCTGTCTGAGGTGAATATTAGTGGTGCAGCATGTGAAACAAATTCTCACCACTTGCTGATCAGAGCTAGAAATCTGTGAAGTAGAAATGTTGGACATAAAGATAAAAGTGTAGATGAAAGAGGAAGCAGCCAAAGAGTGTCAGCCAAAGGGCAGCGAGTTTGAAACTGTGTCTCCTCTGATTTGTTTGGTTTTTATCAGGAACTGATAAATTGGGTAAAATAAGTGCGAGAGGAAGAGTGCGATTTAGAAACAAAAAAATAAATAACACTTCATCTGCTGCAGCAAGCCTTCAGCTTGATGTAACATGAGAAAACTCTATTAATTAGTGGGGTTTTTCCACAACAGTCACATGTAGTTTGAATTTTTTTCATGGAATACAATTTATTTTTTGGTACGTGTGTCATGCTGCTCAACTGTGAAACCGACAGGCCAAAATTAAAATAAATTAAATTAGATTAAAATAAAGTCTAAGGCCAAAGGATGAATAAAATAACTTGGTGGAAATGTTTTGCTTATTGTGGCTAATTTCAAAATTAGTTTTATTCCAAGTTGTTTTTTTCCTTCTGATGTGCCTATATACAGATATAGTTATGCAAAACACCATGTGTTTGCAATTAAACAGATGAAGGCAGCAGGTGTGGGAGCAGCTGTCTTGTATGCATTCAACACTTGTTTTTTGTGGTGGCAATAAAAGCTTGCAAAGGTGTTTTTATCAGACAAAATGTTAGTCTACAGAGCAAGTAACAGTAATTAGCACTTGGTACTTGAAAGGATTTGGTTGAAAAAATGTCAATTTAACAAGGAATCAGTCCAAACATACTTGCTCTTATTTATCTTTGTTATTCAGTGTCACAGTGTCACAGGTGGATGCAATGTCCTAGGATATAAGTGAGTACATTTTGTGGCCTTTAAAAAAGCTAAAAACTTCTATGAAAATGATTGGATTGTAATCTGGTTCTAGCCATAGTTCAAAAGATAAGGACGAAGCAACAGTTGCCAATCAAACACCTTTTGCAGACAAGGAGCCCTTGCAGTTTGTCAAAGTCTTTGAAATGACCCACACTGGGTGGTGAGCCAGAAAAAAATATTTCATTATCTGATTTTAACATCAATAAATCATCACAACCTTAAATCTGAGGAGGTAACTTTCATTATCTTGTGCAAACAGCAAAGACTTGCTTCAGCTGCTTCTGACCTCTACAATATTATTCATATTAACAGTTCTAGAGCTTCGATTAAAAGTCAAATGAAAAAGGCTGATGGCTATTTCCCAGTTTTTCCTTGTTCTTGCATCAGAAAAACATGGTTAATGTTTGCAGTAATGTGACCAAGAGATAAGAGGGGAAAAAAAAGGAAAATACTTAATTAATTAATAATTAAACAAAGGTTAGGGAAAAAAGGAAAATACTTAATTAATAATTAAACAAAGGTTTCTAGGAAAATAATTAATTAATTAATAATTAAACAAAGGTTTCTAACTTTACCTATGTCTCAAGGAAACAATGACCAATAGAATGTGCATATTGTAGAAGCTATTTTTTCAGCTCTGATGGTGAGAATTCACTGAAAATGTTTAACTGAAAAAATGCAATGGCTTATGTTCCAAGGGACAAAATCTGGCCCATTCTCTTACATTGATGCAGAGATCAGGCATGTATAGACCAGTCAGTCTGAATCTATACTATAGATTCAGTCTATCAATAGAGTCAGGCCATGTATTTTCTAATAGAAGAGCACTTGCTTTTAAAGTGATTTCCTCAGATCATAACTTCTTATTACCGGGCTGGTCAACAAAACATTTAAACGATTAAAATCGGATTAATCATGGGGTAGCTGTTGATTAATCATGATTAATTGAGACAAATCAACGTTCCTAAATACAACAAGAAAGCTCTTTTTTTGTATGTTGCTGAGATGGAATGACAAATTTCAGCAGGTATATGTATGTGTTTTACATCTGTTTTTATTCGTGACCAATCCAAATGGTGGAAGGATTAACAGGGACAAATCACAATCCAAAAGTTCCCAATTTTGCATCATAAAGTTGGTGGGTTTCAGTCAATTACTCTACATCTTGACAGTGGCTTGTGAGCCTGAGCACAATAGAAACACTGTAAAATATAAGCCATCATAATCCAGTCCATAAAGTACCCAAGCCCCCAGGGTGGCTTACCAGGTTTACCAGCCTCCAGTCCTGCTACAATGTATCAAAAACATTTACCTTAAACCAACCCCGGTTCCATTGTTGAGGGACTACAGGATTGTGTTAAAAATGTTTCGCCAGTTTACAATCCTTACTTTATCTGGACTCTGAAGAGTGACTTGGGAGCAAAGTCTCTGCGAGATGATTTCTAATTTTAGTTTTCAGGTGGAGCCATAAAACCTCGTGTGCACAGTTGAACAAACTGTACTTACAATAGCACAGTCAGCATACATTACATACAGTTTGATTTTACTTTAGATGCTGTGTGTGTGCACACAGTTTTGTCTTTGTTTGACTATGGTCCAGAGTCACAGATGAGCTGTTACCTAACAAAATGTTTGCTCTAGGAACCCCAGTTTAAACCCCAAAGCAAAATAACTATGGTCCAGGATAACATGAAATGATGACATCATAATATTGATAATATTGAAACAGTGCACCAAATAATCCTCTAAAAAGCTGCCTGGTACAAAAAAAGGAAAGGTATCCAATCTGACACAGAACACAGAATCAACTGGATGTTATTTCCATCAGGATATACTCAGAGGCTAACCTTTCACACACTCTTTATCAATGCACTTATATGAAGGCAAGCCATTGGTGGGAGAGAAATAAAGCAGTTTCATGTTTCATCTAATGCGAGGTTGGGTTGCTGATCACAAAGCCAGTAGTTTACAGGCAGCGCATTGATGTTTTCGCAAGGAATTAGCCAGAGTGTCTGAAACACTTGCAGAGAGAAAAGGTGGAAGGAGAGAAAGACAGGCAGTGAAATTTGAGGGTGGGCTTCTTTGATGGCAGCCTGACTGTGATACCAGGTCCCACTAACTGACAGGCAATTATCACTTCAAGAGAGAGGTTTCAGCAGTTTGGCTTTCACATTTCACTTTTCTGCCCTGCAGGGTAGCCTCGTCTTTCAAAGAATCTCGTACGACTGATCTTGACTTTTGATGTCCTTACTGAACAAGGGAGGGCAGCAAAGGGGGCCAAGAGATCAATTAAAGAGCACACTAAGCAATTATCAAGTAATTAACCTGTAGCCCTGGACTTGCCCTAGCACTCAATATGCATGATTATTAACTATGATCACAGACGCAAAAGATCTGAGGCCAGAGTAACACTCATCAGAAAAGTAAATTGTTTTTCCAATCACTATAATCAGCCACAAATAAAGTCAAGGTGATTAGTTTAAGATTCCATGGTGTTGTTTAAAAAAAAATCAATATATTGCCTTGCCCTACTCTACATTCCACTATAACATTCTAATGCTATATACTATATATCCCAACCCCCCAAAATAAGAAAATTGTAGTTTTATTATAAAAAAATTGTACATCATTGAAGAAAGGTGCTAAGAATTATGTGCGACAGATTGTGCCAAGATGTACAGATTGTGCCAACTCAATACGGCCACAGCTTGCGCATAACATATTATTATCAGTTGACAGCTATGAGCCAAATGATTTTCTTCTTCTTGCCTCAGGATCAGATCATATGTGATTAGATGGTGCAAAAATCACAGTCAGTCTGTGTTATCAAATCTTGACAGATAACATGTTGGAAATGTCAAAACGTGACTTATTCAAACTGCTCAATTCACAGTCTAGGACAGGTGGTGGAATACACTCCACAACCTCAGTCTGTGTGTTTATTTCACACACAGTCATTTGCATGTTCCTCAGCATCAGCTAGTCGACATTGTGAACTCAGCCGAGTAAACAACGTCCAAATAACATTGTCGTTCATTTTCATTTCCGTACCAGCATTTCCAGCAATTGAGATTCAATGCAGACTAAAACCGGTTCAACAAACAACAGTGACTGTCAGTGACTGTCAGTGACTGTCAGTGACTGCATGGTGACAGAGGGCTTCTCGTGTGTGCTGCATGGCGGTGATGTGTCCACGCTGTTGAAACTGAAGACAGATGGAGCCTTAGTAAGGACAATATTAAACTTATTTACTGTTGCAGCTTCATGAATCCTTTCTAGCTGCCAAATGAAGACATACAGTACCCCCAAATTCAAACAAGACATTAAGAAAGAATTACTCTCTAACCTTGTGTCTGCCTTGTATCTAAATCGGGGGTCACCCTTGCCAAGTAATACTCAGTAATGCACCTGTTTAATGTGCCCACATGTCACTTTTTTTCTTAAATTAAGCATCGATTTGCCCTTGTATTGCCCTTCAAAGCAGCAGTAGATAAGACTTCCTGAGTATTTACATGTAATACATGTTGCTTTCAAACCTTTTCCTCTGAGGCACCCGGCTCCTATTAGAAAGGATGACTCAGAAGCCCTGCAGAGAAGCTACAGTATACTGGGCTCCGAGTTTAGGCTTCCACTAAAAACTACAAGTCAGCTCTTGGAATCAGTACAAGACCTTCCAAACTGATAAGTCAATGAAAAGGAAGCAGCACGTGATTTAGGCACACAGAAGTGCTGCTTCACTAACGTTAATGGATTTAAAGATGAAGCCAGTCAGGTGCCAAGTCTATTCAACCACCAGACTTTGAGGGGGTAAACATTTTACTGAGATCAATCAACTGCATTACATGAGAGACTGAAAAGTCATGGATGGTCAGAAACCCAGGTTCAGATGCCTCTCTACCTGAGTAACTGAGTTTTATGCCTACAGAATACCAAACTATCTCTGCGAGAATTCTGTGTGTTTGTGGGGTATAGTCCTAGAAATCTTTCAACTGTGACATTTTCTGTCTGTGACTTCAGCTGCTCTGGATCCTTGCATTACATGTTGAAAACAAAGTTGGAGCATCTGCAGTACTCTCTCTGAAATGTTGAAGTATTGAACCAAAATCCTTAAATTATTGTTTTTAGAGGATAATTATTGTACACACCTGACTTGTATGCCAACATGAATCAATTGCTAAATGACACATTGTGATACACTGCATATTTAAGCCTTTAATACAGTCTTCCCCATAATGTTTGACAGAATTTGAGTCATTCTTCACTTTGTGCAAAATCACCCGGTGTTCAGTTGTATCTTAATTGCCTGTTAGATGATAAGACGATGATTAAAAACAACTAGTTGTTTTTATTCTGTTGTTCTGATGAGCAGTGGTGTACCAGGCATTTCTCACTTAGGCCTTCAGTGACCTTAAGAAATCCACATCCTTAGTACTTTATTATGTCTCTAAAAACCATCAATATAACAGGAGGGAAGACTCGATACAAGTTTTTCATGTCCGATACCAATACTGCAATATGGAGATGTCTTCTTTTCTCTAATATCATGCAGAAATCTTGACCGATATTCCTCTCTCTTGAAGTGCTCACACTTTGCAATATAAACTGAAGCTGTTTAAAATACTAATAAATTGTATTGACTGGATAACAAAACAGAAATGGTCGGATGAAAGAAGACAAACAAAAATATGAGAGGTAATATGAGAGATAACAATGGATACGCACAGGTCCAGTGTGCGCAAACAACGTGTTTCTGTCTCAGTGTTTGCCTCACAGACAAAAACATCAAAGTATGAACAGAAACTGAAAGATGACAGTTCGATCTCAGATCAAACTTTCCTTCTCTTCTTTTTTCTTCCTTTCACACACTGGCTAAACTCTAAACTGAACTTGTGAAGTCAGCAAAACTTTCAGATCTGAAAAGTTGTGTTAGAGTTCTTTTTTGGGGGGGTGAGGGGCTCACTATAGATCTTCAACCTCAGCAAAGCAGCCTTTGCTTGACTTTTGTTTCTAAAAAAAAAAAAAAACAACATATAGACTAGCCCCCACTTTGCTTGCCTGGAGGCAAAAGCCACAGTACTCCCATCTATCAGCATGTGGGGGAAAACACTTGGTGTACTTGTGTGTCAGTCCAATCCTTCTCTTTTTTCTTTGATTTGTGTGCAAACCGCAGTGGGGGGGCTCTGTGAAGCTTGAAAGTCATGTCAAAGCCTGGCACAAACAGTAGCCCAACACAGACACACACAAATGATGCTTCCAATGCAGATTGGTCTCCTTTAACAAGGTCCCTGCACCAAAACCACTGGTTCCTAAACATCAGTAGCCTATCCAGGTTGACACATTACCAATGTCTTAGACTAAGATGATGACATGATGCCAAGAGGACAGCAGGCGGCGGACATAAAGCTACTGGACATAGAGCTATTGGACAAACACAAACGTTTACTACACAATTGTTCAGTTAATGAGGGGCAATGCAGCAGAAATGTATAATTTGTCATATTAAGTGTACTCCGAACGCAGAATTGTAGATCATGTTTAAATTTGATGTAACAATATTTTAAATTATAACTTGAAAATCATCAATGATGTGGCAGACTATGGGCACACAAAACATGTTTTCAAGTACTTTGTGCAAAATATGGAAGAGTGCGGGTTAATGAAACACTGCCTTTAAGAGCCATCGGCCTCTGTGTTGTGTTTCCAGTTCAACATACATTTATATTCTTATGTTTTTGAATTGTGGTGAATGAATGAATGAATGACTCATGGATGGCGTCATGGAGTCAACTGTAATAACTGCCATCCATTTTTATACCTCTACAATAATCTGTTTTTTCTGTGCGCTCTTTGTTAGCCATTATTATGTTACATTTATCTTAGGAAGCCGTAAAAGTTTCATGTTGTGGAACATTAGTCTACTTTTCAAGGTGAGAATGGAGCAGGGTGTTCCTAAAATGCAGAATGCCTATAAAAAATATTGTTACGAAAAAAAACCCCACTGTGACGTCCTTAATTTTATTTACTTAAAGAAGCAGTGTTACAAATAGCAGACACACAGAGTGCAGTGGGATGCACTTTATTTTTGTTTTCAGCAAGTCTGCTTTTAGAGCCACTGTGAAGTTGATGTATATTTAATAATTTATCTGAAGACAAAACAATACACACAGTGAATGTCACACAGGAGTACACGCTCCTTAAATTATAATTCAGTCTATAAGGATGAATGGTTAAGCACTGGTGAATTGTAATAAGCTGGCTGGCTTTAAAACCCTGGTATGGAGTATGCTGTTTTCATCTTAGACTTGGAGACAATGATTGTTTGCCATATGCTGTTGATCCAATGCAATATGATCCAGCACCTGTTACATCCTGAGGGTATGAACTGCATCAGTTAATGGATCGGAAATAGGTGAAGTTCGTGGTAACAGCAGCATAACATAATAGGTTAGCATCCTATGTTATAATCATGCTCTTCATTGCACTTCTCTGTCAAACTGTTCATAATAGATGGTCACAATTCCGTCAGCAGTTTGAAACAACTTTAAAATGTAGACGATTCACAGGGTAATAATAAGATGAGCATTTGGTGAGAAAACCATCATCTTATGTATGATCTGTTCAGTGGACATACCTAGCATGTTGAAAATGAAGTCCTTGGCTGTGTGGACCTCTAAGGCAGTCTGGTCTCCGAACTCCCCTTGCTCTAGTCGCACCAGCTCTGACACCTGTGCCGACAGCTGCTCCAGGGGGGCCCCTGAACGGAAGTCAACATCTGACAGTTTCTTCCCGGGAGCTGGCGACCGTGGTGCCACGGCACTGATCAGCGACTCCATCTTCACAAGCCTGCAGGGTGAAGTCAGTGTAGGATATTTTTTTAGGTTTGTTAGATGCTTTGATGCCAACATATTCGAGTTCATGGCTTTAAAATCTGCAGACATGCTGTCACAGTGACAATGTGTATGGCTGGCTGGGTTGTCGAGCCTTTAGGCTTTCATAATTGAATACTGCTTACTCTGTTTACTTTTCATTAACATTGTGTGAAACCAGCTTTGAGCAGAGCAATGTGTCTTATTGCCAATTAGTTTGGTGTTTTTAATCAATCATGCACAGAAGGTTAACTGTGGCAACATAGAAATAAGAAACTCGCTGTGCCGAAGCTACAAACTGGTGACAACATATTTAAATAGAGAAAAGGAAGACATAGATACTGTGATGATACAGAGACAAAATATGACTTTAATCTCTGAATTCATCAATTTAATAAGTAGTTCATCTCATGATAGGTATTTTAGGTACATTTTTTGTCTTGAAACTACTTAACAGATGGATAAATACCTGAACTGTACAGCAACGCTTGTCAGCATGTAATGATATAAGGTATTGAGAGTGCTGTTAGTTTTCCATTTGGTACCTTAATGTTTGTACCATGCACTTCTCTTTGCATTGATCTCTTGAGTGACGCAGGATTTTTCCAGTCCAAAGCTACTACGTCGAAGATGCTAAATGCTGGGAATTCATTGTCTATTCTACAACACTATTATGCAGTTAGATATTAGTATTAAGGGTTACTATTAGGATAGAATAAATCAATGACCTTAGAATTCTATACTGCTAGATATTCCTCATTAAAAAAATAAGCTAACATGGGGTTAATCCCTTTGTAAATTCAAGTCCCTGTTTATACACATCTCTATTCAGCTAGTTTTACTTTGTGTTTTTCTCTTTGTGATATTAGTCTATTTGTGTATCTGAGTTAATAATGTTTGCAATTTATTAGCATATAAGTGTTTATGGAATTCCCCAAAATAACAAAGGAATCTTTTGTCAATCTATTTCCTAAAAGGGAATTTAAAACATAACTGCATGGATTTTCGCAGACCAGTAGTAAAGAGTATTAGGGACTAGATTATTACACTTACGAACAGGCTTTTAATTATCTATTAACGTAAACTGATATTTCGTCTAAAGTTATTTTAGACTCAAAAAAGTAATGCAAAGTTAAGCGGAGTGGAATGACAACATGGCCTCTGCCCCGGTGAACTGGATTAATTAGCTGCTAAGCTAATAGCCGTGAAAATATACCGCCTTTGACGGATATTATTGTGTAATAGCATTATAAATATCAAAAACGGAGCGCTGAACTACATTGACTCTTGCTCACATTAGTAACCGATTCGCATTGAAGCGACAAGCTGGGAGCCTCGCCCACACTCTGCCAATTTATTTTAGTAGCTATATTAGCCAGCTGGGTTAAACAGATTATCGTGTCTACTTATACGAGGGGTTAGGGTTAGACGCAAACAAGTGCATCGACACACGCACACGTTACTAGTAAAAATCTATACGTATGCACACGCACACACATACGTTCTCCCACATGCACTCAGCTCATGTCCCGTTAGCCAGAGAGTCTTATAGCGAATCCTTAGCCACGGGGCTAGGGCTGTCAAATAGCACAAAAAACACACCCTTTACACAGTAACGCCAATGGCTTCTTTCGCTATCTTCTACGTTCACTGTTACTGTGATTTCCGTATTTTAATCCTCCTTTAGCAGTCATTTCCAACAGGTCCCTGACGCCACTTTCCCCCTGGCAACACCGTCCCGGGATTCATGGTCCTAGTCAGCGGATCCGGGGATTACAGTCATGTGTGGCACGCAAGCACCACATTAAAAAATACAAACGGATTTGCGCGGTCAGTAAAGAAAAAAAAAACAAGATAAGATAAGGCAAAGCTTAGGAGAACTGGAGGCAGGCATGTGAGCCCAGCAGGGCGGTTTCACGGCTACACAGATGGTGCTCTGGATCAGCTCCACCAGTGTAGTAGGAAGTGGACTGTGTTTAGTCATCC